GAAGATAAAGATACTAAAAATTGAGAAAACAGTCAAATTATCTACAAAGGAGTGACGATAGCATGGCCTGACTTCTCAAGAGCAAAAATAAAAGCTCTGGAAAGTTGAATAATGTCTTCAAGTCACTGAGACCAAGAGCTGTCCATCTGGTCGACCACCGGCTGATGGTTGAACTAACCACAGTTTTGGGAATAAATGAGCAATTTTTATTGTTGACACCTACTGAAGGAAAATTTGAAATAAATTCTTTAAGAAGAAGGAAAATGATCTCCCCCAAAGGCCTAAGAAGCAAACATGCCAAGCATGTCCCTCCCTGGTTGCTTTCCGTCTCACTAGGATGCTCTACACTCAATATGCAAAAGGTGCTATGATCTGAATGACATATGTTCATATGTGGAAATCCTAAGTCCCAGCATGCTGGCATTAGGAGGTGAGGACTTTGGGAGGTGGTTAGGTTAGGAGGGTGGAACCCCAGGAATGAGATGAATGCCTTCATAAAAGAGACCCTGCAGCATTTCTCTGAACCTTCTCCATGTGGGGTCACAGCAAGAAGGCAGCCACCTATGAACCAGGAAGCAGACACCGACTCTGCGGGTGCCTGGATCTTGGGCTTCTAGCTTCCAGAACTGTGAAAAATAAGTTTCTGTTGCTTATAAGCCAGCTGGTCTATAGTATTTTGTTATAGCCTCCCAAACAGACTAAGACAAAAGGCTTTCCCCTTTACCTCCTTCAGGTTCCCGCTTTCCCTGACTGCCGTATAATTACACTCTCCAGTCACTGTATCCTATCCCGCCTTCTCCTCCTTCATGGTATTTATATGGCATATTATAGCTTTATTTATTTTTAATATCTTCTTTCCATAATAAAAGATAAGATCCATGAAATAAGGGACTTGGTTTGGTTCGTTGCTCTATTTTCAGAACCTAAAATAATTTCAGGCACATAGCAGACACTCAAGGGTAACTAGTAAAAGGATAAAAACAGACCACATTCCTCCTCCTTCCAAAAAGAGGGAAAAAGCCACCTTCTAATGCGACCCTCAAGATGTCAAAAAAGAGGGGGGAAAGAAGCCTGGAAATAAAAAACAAATAGGAGGTATAAAATTAAATGTTAAAAATAAATCCAAACAGATCAGACTTATAATTTATTATAACAATACATGTAAACAGACTAAACTCATCAGTTAAAAAATTAGAGATTGTCAAGTTGGATTTTAAAGTAATTCAGTTATGTGCTGTGTCCAAGAGATATCAGGAAGTCACAGGACATAGGAAGATTGCAGAAGATAGAACCGGCCAATGAAATGCAAAGAATGTGGGTACATCTACAGTAATAAGAGACAAAGTACATCTTAAGGGAAATATAATCCTGACCATATAATATTCAAGTAAGGCAAAAGCCCCACAGTATATTATTTAAGAACATATGCATATGCCATAAATGTATAAATAAATGACTGATAGAGGATGCATTTAGGTTACCTGGAGATGGAGGGAGCAGTGGTGGAGGTTGTGATTGGGGAAATATATTAAAGTGGTTTCAACTCTCCTGATAATTTCTTTTATTATTCTAAGCTGCATGGTGGGTACATGAGTATTTCATAAAGTTCTATCATATCTGTTCCATGTTGAAAATAGTTCATAATAAGAAAACTCTTCCCCAAATCTAATTACAAACAACTGTTGATGCAACAGGCTGTCCAACACAGGGTACCCTGAGAGTGTAGGTCAGAGAGCCCCTTGGGAGGAAAAGCGACACCGATGGGCAGGACAATTGAATGAGCTTTCCAAGAATCCTCTTAGGGAAGGCAAGGGCGTTCTTGGGTCAGCCAGTTACTTAAACTCAATCTCATCCTCGGGAAATGTGTGTGGATATAACAAGGGAATTGTGAGTATTAAATGAAACAATGAATGCACGTAAAGTGCTTGGTACATAGTAGGTGTTCAGTGAACTGCATCAAAATCTTTCTGGAAATGAAGCAGAATAGAACTAGCAAGTTAGAGTCAAAGAGAAATTAGATACTACTTACTTCCCAGACTTCCCCAGGCAAAGTCAGCACCTGCCCGAGGGAACGCTGCATCCCGTTCATCTTTGTATTCCCAGCGCCCTCAAGCACTGTGTCTGGCGCATAATGGACACTCAGGAATCATCTGGAGAATGCTGAAAGGTACGAGGATTCTTATGGACAAATCATATAAACACTGCAAAAAAAGGAATCAATTTCATCTCTCTAGTTGTGAACCCGCAAGATTATAAACAAGGATAATGTTTACTAACACTACTACAGTACACTTAAACAGCTCCTTTTTTTGCGGGGGGAGGATCCACATTTTACAACAGTGGTATTAAACATGTTCTTTTCACTTCACGAATATTTCACGTCTTCTGTTTATGTCACTCAGATGAGTAACATAAGGCAAAACTGATCTAAAGTTGGACGATGTAAGCACGTCACCTTCCCCTTTCATCTTATCCACATTTATCAAGAAAACTCACACAGGCCACTCGTTTTTCTTTCCTGCTTATTTGCTCCCTAGCAGCGGGCAGGGAGGGGCGGTTGGGATTAGGGACTTTACAAAAACTCCAGGTTGCCTCAGGGCCAATCACCGACTTCTTGGGCTTTATTCCTGGGGTAGGGAGGGCTCTCCCCGACCGCCTCCCACCCCCACCCCCGGAGGGCTAGGATGAACGGCGCTGACAGATACCGAGGCCTGCGCGCCGCCGCCTCCCCGCCCAGCGCGCACGGAGCGCGCTTTGCTTCCCTTGCCGGGGCAGGGGCTGCGCGCGGCGTTTGTCGCCTTCGCTGGACGCAGGCAGGTCCGCACCGCGCGGAGGAGAGCGCGCGCGGCCGATCGTGGCGAGGAGGTGGGCGGCGACCCATCCCATTGGGATTCGTCCAGTCTCTCCGCGCGGGGAGGCCCCCGGCGGGCGCGGATTTCCGCGGGGCTGAGTCCTGCCTACGTCTCAGTGGCGACGGAGTGGCCCCCTGCCAATTCCCACAAAGGCACAGAGCACTCTCCCGTTTGACCGAAAACCGCGAGGGGAGAGAGGCGCCGGCCGGTTGGGAGGCGAGGGCAGCCTTCTCCACGAACCGGGCGGTACGTGGCCGCGCGCCCGGCTGTGTCCCCAGAGCGCCGCGGGAAGGGAGAGGCTCAGAGCAACAGGTGCAGCCCGCAGACACTCCCGGGACGTGGGAGACGACCTGCAGGGGCTCGGAGTCGGTAAGGCGCGGAGAGGGCTCTGTCCACCCCCAGGGCTGCACCGGCAGGTCCCTCCTCCCGGGTGCGGGCGGATCAGCGGGCGGTGGTGCCTGGGCAAGGGGAGCCCTGCGTTCTCCGGACAACCGGCCCGGTCTGGGAAGGTCCAGCTCTGGCTCCGGTCTGTGTCCTCTCTCGGGCAGCCCCGTCCAAAAAGACGGTGCCACTAGGCACGGGCGCCCGGGCGCGTGCCCATCAGGATCAGGGAGGCTCAGACTCAGAAACTCGCGCTCTGCGTGCCAGGGGCTGGGTACCCCGGCTCCCCGCGGCGCCTTCCTTCCCCGGCCAGCACCCTTCGCCGGCGCGACCCGGGCGCCCCCCGCGCGCCATGGAGCTGGCGGCCGGGAACCTCAGTGAGGGGAACGCGAGCGGGCCCGAGCCCCCCGCCCCGGACCCCAGGACTCTTTTCGGCATCGGCGTGGAGAACTTCATCACGCTGGTGGTGTTCGGCCTGATCTTCGCGCTCGGCGTGCTGGGCAACAGCCTGGTGATCACGGTGCTGGCGCGCAGCAAGCCGGGGAAGCCGCGCAGCACCACAAACCTGTTCATCCTCAACCTGAGCATCGCCGACCTGGCCTACCTGCTCTTCTGCATCCCCTTCCAGGCCACGGTGTACGCCCTGCCCACCTGGGTGCTGGGCGCCTTCATCTGCAAGTTCGTCCACTACTTCTTCACCGTGTCCATGCTGGTCAGCATCTTCACCCTGGCCGCGATGTCGGTGGACCGCTACGTGGCCATCGTGCACTCGCGGCGCTCCTCCGCCCTGCGGGTGTCCCGCAACGCGCTGCTGGGCGTGGGCGTCATCTGGGCGCTGTCCATCGCCATGGCCTCGCCGGTGGCCTACCACCAGCGCCTCTTCCACCGGGGTGTCAGCAACCAGACCTTCTGCTGGGAGCAGTGGTCCAGCCAGCGCCACAAGAAGGCCTACGTGGTGTGCACCTTCGTCTTCGGCTACCTGCTGCCACTTCTGTTCATCTGCTTCTGCTACGCCAAGGTGGGCCCCGAGGCGGCTCCTGCGTCCCTGCACCCCTTTCCGGGACCCGCAGCGGCCCCGCCCCTTTGCCCTCATTCCCCAGAATTTTCTGCGGGGACCGCGCGGTGACCCTTTCCTGCTCCCTCGGCCTCGGCTTGGGCTCGCGGGTCTGACGTTGCGCGGAAGTTACTCGGAGTTTGGGCAACGCCAGGGAAAGTTTGCAGCAGGTCACTTCCCGGCCGCCCGTCCTCTCGCCCCGGCCCGGGGCCCTGAGGTTGTCCCGGCGGAAGGCGGCGTCAACGCCCACTTCTCAGTAGGGGAAACCGCGCCGCCCCTTCAGCCCGCGCGAGGGCTGCCCCACGTGGCCGCAGGGTCACGGCGAGCGCTCCATCCTCCTGAGCGCACGCCTTTGCCAGGTGGAGGCTCCGCGCCCCTCCACAGCCCTCAGCAGGGCCTCATGGGGAGATTTCCCTGCCCGCGGGGTGCACAGGGTCGGGGGGGGGGTGCCGGCGGGGACCGGCTCTGTGAAGCCGCTGCTTCTGGCGACAGAGCTTTGACTTTCGTCTTATACACAAGTTGGGCGTTACAAATCCAAGTGGTTAGACAGTATTTCTTCACGGAGTCTTGAGGGAGTCTCCAGAGAACTTGGGGTGGATGGGCTTCCAGCTGCTGCTTCCCCGTTTCAGTCCTTTTAGGAAGGGGTAAGGAATATGAAGTGCCTCAGGGGGCAGGTCTAAAGCCCTATCGCTGAGAGACACACTGTTGACACACCTCTGGTCCCCTACTCCTGCACCTCCTTATTGGGAAAATGGCTGTTAACCTTCCTGGTGCCAGCCTCGCCCTCGTAGCTCAGCACAATCACCTTCTCTTTGATTAATAATACATGAGTCTGAAGATTTCATACTGATCTGAAAGTCTTGTTTATACTGGAGTAAAAGTATATGCTGGATAGTTAAGAGACGTGATTCACAGGGTGAGCTCCGCTCTCCCCGACACACCCTCCCCAGACCCATCACCATGAGAAAAATACTGCTGTAACCACATTCTGAAATTTCCACCATTTTCTCTTCATCTCCCTCTCCGTATCTCTCATTCTATTTCTCATAAGGCGGGGACTCTAGGACTCTGAATAATCAGATGAGGTAGAACGGCAGTCATTTCTTATATTCAATTCATAGAGCTTTTTGGGTTTTTTTTCCCCCCCAGCAGAAATCTTGACTAAAAGCCACCTGGTTTGGTTTGTCCCCTCCCCCCACATCATCTGTGTTGAGTTATGTCTGTTTTGAATGGTAATATTTCTGGATGTGATCTGAAAGAATGTTCTGCATCAAAGGGTTATATATAAAGAGATGTGGTAATTGGGGAAATTGGGAGGTCACTGCAGCTTAGCTCTTCAGTAAATGGCTGTTTTATTCATTTCATCTTCTGCAAACGCAAATCAAAGCTTCGTTTGCACAGCCCAGTGGTCTCCAGTGTGCGCTATCTCACTTAATCTGCAGGCCACCCAGTGGGTTGGAGCTATTGTGCATATTTTATTGATAAGGAAAGAGGGTTCTGGAGGAGTGAAGCAGCTGACCCAGACTATGAAGCTGGTAAAGGCTTCAGGGAGGATTTCAGTGCAGGGATTCCCAGTCCCCCAAGAGAGGGGCAATTGCTGAGGGCCTGTAGGGCATGGACCTTGGGACTAGAGTGACTCTTACAATATTTGCTTCTTCAATCATCATGACATGGATTAGACTTGAAGCACATTCTTCCTTCATTTCCCGAAAGTCTTTGGGGAACATAATTCAGGTCTCCTTAATGGAAACAACAAGGTAAATGTCTAGGAATAAATTAGGTTACATTTCTGTCATTTGAGAATTTATACAAGTCACACATAGGGCAAAATTTAAAATTTTTCAAAAATTCAAAAAATATATGATCATTGGGATAGTTTTTATATGGAAATAGTTTGCTTTTAAGCATATCTGGAACTTTCTTTGGAATTCAAGGTAATATTTGCATATTTATTCCAAACATACTTGGGTGTTTTCTCCACTGACCACTCAGCAGCATTCCTTAGGCGTTTTGCAGTTACCCAGACGTGATCCCCCCGTTTGTGGAAGGAATGAGTAACCCCTGGGGTAGTGTTATGAAGCAGGTAACATTTGACTTTTCCATATGGAGTCCTCTCCAGGTGGCCGTCTCTGATTTTGTTTTGCTGTGTCTCCTCTTGTCCCTTGCTTTCGGTCTTCTGGGAAGGCTGTCCCCAAAGAACCTCGCCAGGCCGGTCCTCGCCAGGCAGGGTCCTGTCCAGCCCTTTCCTTCCCCTGGAAAGTTCTCCTCATTTGTTCCTGCCAAAGCCTCTTTTCTATCTTCGCCTTAGATTTGATTTCTTATACCCCAGTCTCTGTTGGCAGGACAGTAAACTAACCCATTGTCAATGTGCAGAGAGTGATCCCAAATGTCCCTGTAGCACGTGAAAGGCTTGTCTTGCAGAGGATGCTAAGCCTCTGTAGGAAGTGAGAAGTATCTCAGTAGAGCTGGGAATTTGGAGTCGGAAGTTCACGCCCCCCGTGATCGCTGCTTGACCTGCATAGGAATCGTGAGGGTGTGAATAAGTCCCCTGGCTTCCCAATCAGGGAAGGGCCGTCCAGAAGGGCTGCATCCCGCCGAACGGAGCAGGCTTTCACAGTAAGTCCAGTTCCATTAAATTATTTCCGTGCTGCGGCGCTTCAGGGGGACAGAGAGGTGGCTGGAACACTGCTTCCAGTTTTTGGAGAGACTCGTCGAGTAACCAGTGGACAGTCTAAAGCCCTTAGTCACCCAGAGCTAATTTTCCTTAGATTTTTCACTCAGATGGGACATAAGAAAGAACTCAACACCAGTGTGGCATATGTACAGCCGTCTCGGCCCTGTTGTATAGCTTATGTTGTAAATTCTTACATAGAACCAAAGTGACTCACATCATTTCTCCTGAGTATTACATTGGCGAGAGAAGACAAAGCTAGTTTCTCTAAGGAAGGAAACCAGTGTCTCCCTGGAAGCCTTCCTGATGGGACATTAATTGTAGAACCTTGCTGAATGGTCTTCCAGTCATCAGTGATGCTGGAGGGCAGTCTGTAGTTTTTCCGTGTATCTAGGATTTAACATACGACAGGGACCTGGGGATTGTTAAAATGTAGACTCTTGGGGGAAGCCAAGGTGGAAGGGAGACCAACAAGGATGCACATATGGGTAGCAGTGTGGCTCTTTCTGGACGAAACCTCAGAGCTCCCTGCACCAGAACTCTGCCAGCAGGTGCTCCGGCCACAGATGGCACCTGGGCACCCCTCAGGGTTAGAGGAACAGGTGTCCTTGGCAGTTCTTAGTCATCATTACTCCACCACCTCCTGTGAATTTCAGTTTGAATGACGTTGCAAATGACGGTGGTCCCATTTCAGAACGTCAAGAAGTGTTGCAAAATGGACAGTGATGTGTGGGGTCTGAGACAAACCGATTTGATTAGTCTGTGTTTTTCAGGTCCTTCATCATTTGCATAAAAAGTTGAAGAACGTGTCAAAGAAGTCAGAGGCATCGAAGAAAAAGGTAAAAATACTCGTGGACTTCCAGCCTGTGCGCGTTTCTAGAGCTCAGTTGACGTATACTCTTAGCTCTCCTTGCAGCCACCCAGTGCCTGTGACGTTTTGGTTCCTGGGTACAGAGATTTGAGATGAGTCTCTTACCACTAGGCAGAGGGTAGAAACGGGAAGTGAGCTGTTGAGGGTGGCCAGGTGACCGTGCTGCGCGAAAACGTGGATGGAAGTCTCGGGAGGGATGGAAGTCTCGCGAGGGATGGAAGTCTCGCGAGGGATGGAAGTCTCGGGACGGGGGGAAAGGTGCATTTTCTGGATTCTCAGCCTCTTGAGAAGGTATGTGCTAGGTTGGTTGGGACAGAGTGTCGAGTGGCTGGATCCATACTTTGCGTGAAACTACCGTCATGTTATTGTGTATTGACCGTCTCTGATGTGATGCCAGGAGGCCCTGTCTTAATAATCTTTCGGGAGAGTGTTGTTACAGCCTCTCCCTGAAGCCTCAGAAGCAGATGCACTGTTCGTCTCTCTTCCTCCCAGACTTCTGCTGACTTTGGCCCCGAGGGGAGAGAACTAAAGATGGGAGGGGCCTCGGGGGATTTCAGCCCATTTTTAATTGTCTTTTTCATCCCGTGAATTCTGAATTCCAGAAGCTTCTCCTGAAGAGCATTACAGCATCTAACATCCTGCAGTTTATCACACTTCACATTTTGAGGAAAAACTGTTTTACAAATCAGGATTAATTTACCTCTTATTCAGATAATATCTATATCATCTCCGATTTTTAGAAAGTAGAATGAAAGTTGATGAGATTATTAGACCCTATGATTAGGGAGAAGGAGATTATAACCAGAATCTTTACCGGCAAATATTACTCATAACATCTTAAAATACCTTGTTTTTCCTTCTAAATATTTATTATGATCAAGGACACATAATTTGCAGAAATTATAGTTTAATCAGATTTGCTTTAAAAACTTCTGCATAAATAAAGTACAGCTCTTCCTGACTTTTCCTTGTTTATAAACAATAATGTGGCTAAAAACACACCTGTTCTCAGAGCCCGTGAAAAGACATAGCAGAGAGTTGGTTAAAAAGCACGGAATTTAGCTCGTGTTTGAAGAGGTTAACACCCCTGGGGAGGGTGGGGGCTGCTGAACTTCTGCAGAGGTTATGCCCTTGGCACGTGGTACCTGCTTATGATTGATGCCAAAGATTTTCTGCCTCTTGGCAGGAAGGAAATAAAACTTTTCTTCAGCATTGGCTGGATCTTATTTGCATGCTACAGTTAGTTTTAGTCTCTATATTTGAAAACTGTTGGAGAGAAATTGTGGAGGTTCCAGAGGAGAAAAAGTGATTGAAAGAATGAAAATAGGGCTTCCCTGGTGGCGCAGTGGTCGAGAGTCCGCCTGCCGATGCAGGGGACACGGGTTCGTGCCCCAGTCCGGGAAGATCCCACATGCCGCGGAGCGGCTGGGCCTGTGAGCCATGGCCGCTGAGCCTGCGCATCCGGAGCCTGTGCTCCGCAACCGGAGAGGCCGCAGCAGTGAGAGGCCCGCGTACCGCAAAAAAAAAAAAAAAAA